CCCCCCAACACTGTCACTCACGACCAGAAGTCAAGACTAAACCAATTCACCTTGGTGACCACATAATCGTTTTGTATTACCTATTTTTATTAGCCATTTCATACAATTCAGAAAAACAAAAATGTGCAGGAACTATAGGCCTGTATTTATAATATTATGAATGAAATGTGCGTTATTTGGAAGAAAGTCGAGGTGTGACTGACTTTAGCCCACCAATTCCATTAGAGTATTGCTCTACAGTGGACCCCCCCTTGTCCGTTCCATTTGGGAGAGACCCAGAGGTGAACTGTCCCCCGCGCTCCGCTCCCCTTTCTCCTTCTCACACAGCTTCTGTGCACGGCACCTTCTCAGCAAGCAGGGGCGCCAATTTCCCAATTCCCCACACAGTGATATGATAGATAATAGAAAACCACTTCGCGGCGGCGGCGCAGAGGATTTTTATTTTTTTTTAACTGCTCGTGCCGCCCCCCATGTATCATGAAAAAATGCCGCGCCGGGAGGCTGCCCGGTTCGCCCGTGCCAAAAATGAAACTTGAAAAACGCTTAATGTGGCTTAACGAACGTAAACAACGACCAGGGAAACCCAAATTTCTGTCGAACCTTACTTGTAATAAACACTAACTACTGTCAAAAGAACGAGCCCTTACTCCACAGATAAAGTGAATAATATCACATTAAGCGTTCTCCCCCATAGAACTCCATTATAAGGAAACAGCTTAACGTGTTATGATCCAAAAGCGCAGAGAAATCAGTAAACATGACAATGAACGCGTTGTTGTCCCGTTGTTTGGGGGCGTTGACCCTGTGCGCATGCGCGGCGTGGCTCGCGTAGCTCATTATGGGAAGCCAAACAACCCAAATGTGGGACGAAACGGCGTGGTATTCAAGTGTTCGGAGAGTAATGTTCGCACAGTAGGTGGCGGTAATGCACCTTAACGTTGGATTCCACCTGCCTTAAAACATGAAGAAGAAGAAGAGTAATGTTAGCGCTGAGCTTTTGTAACTGATCCGCGCCGCGCTGTCAGCTCGGTGGCGCTAGTAAACACGTCCTCTCTGCGCTGTCGAGTTGGTCGCGAACACTTGAATACTGCGCCGTTTCGTCCCACATTTGGGTCGTTTGGCTTCCCATAGCTCATTACCATATAGCGCTCTGCGCGAGGGCGGATCATTAGAGATAATGAGCTGAGACAGGAGAAACCTGTACCTGTCTTTACTTTCATGCTTATTACCAAATTACATTGTTCTCAGTTCGTCGATGCGTCCACGTTAAGCTGTTTCCTTATAATGGACTTCAGTGGGGGAGATATTATAATACGTGATATTATAAGTTATAGCTATACGCTGAATAAGAAGAGCTCGTTCTTTTGACAGTAGTTAGTGTTTATTACGAGTAAAATTTGACAGAAATTAAATTTTCCCCGGTCGGAGTTTAGGTACGTTAAGCCACGTTAAGCGTTACATATTTATGGGTTTTGTCAATGTGGTTGATGTATTGGCATAATATTCGATTAACATTAGATTTGATTGTCTTGATTGATAGATTATTATAAAGCATTCGATACTGTAGGTCACAATTTTTTATTTGAAGTTCTTGATTTCTTTGGTTTTGGCAACAACTTTATCCGTGCCGTTCGAACATGATCTAATGATCGCAATAGCTCTGTTAAATGACCCTGTGGGACCACTACACTCCTACAGTCGTGGTCAGAATTATTGGCACCCTTGGTAAATATGATCAAAGAAGGCTGTGGAAATAAATCTGCATTGTTAATCATTTTGATCTTTTATTTAAAAATCTACAAAAATCTAACATTTCTTTGAAGAATAAGAATTTAAAATGAGTGGAAATCTCATTATGAAATACATGTTTTATTCTAATGCACGTTGGCCATAATTAATGGTGCCCTTTTATTCAATACTTTTTGCATCCTCCTTTTGCTCAGATAACAGAGTTTTCTCCTATAATGCCTGATGAGGTTAGAGAGCACCTGACAAGAGATCAGAGACCATTCCTTCATCCAGAGTCTCTCCAGACCCTTCAGATTCCCAGCTTCTCCTCTTCAGTTCAGCACACTCATCTTCTCTAGGGTTCAGCTCAGAGGACTGGGATGGCCAGAGCAGAAGCTTGGTTTTGTGCTCAGTGACCCATTTTTGTGTTGTTTTTAAGGTTTGTTTTTGGATTATTGTCCGGTTGTAAGATACAACCTTGGCCCATTATTAGATTTCTAGCGTAGTCGGACAGTTTTTAATTTTTTATCTGTTAGTATGCCATGATGCATCTAAACAAGGACCTCTGGCAGAAAAATACACCCAACAACATTAAAGATACAGCAGTATATTTCATTATACACATGGGGTACTTTTTATCCCTGTGTGCACCTAACCTATCTTGAGTGTTTGCTGCTAAAAAAACCCTCAGTTTTTAGTTTTATCTGACCATAGAAACTAGTCCTGTTTGAAGTTCCAGTCGTGTCTGACAACTGAATATGCTGGAGTTTGTTTTTGGATGAGAGTATTTTCTTTTCTTGATTTTTTTTACTTGAAACCCTCCCAAACAACATGTGGTGTAGGTGCTGTTTGATTTTTTTCTAATCTCTGCAATTCTGCAGCTGTGGTCCTTGGAGAATCTTTATCCACTCAAACTCTCCTCCTCAGCGTGCATTAGGACGATATAGACACACGTCCTCTTCCAGGCAGATTTATAACATCTTTAGTTGATTGGAAATTCTTAATTATTGCCCTGATGGTGGAAATGGAAATTGTCAATGCTCTGCCACTTTCTAATTTGTGAAGCTCAAGTATCTGTAGCTGCACATTAGGACTATATTTTTTTGTTTTACTCATTGTGATGATGATTAAAGGAATTTGGACTCTGTTTCCCTCATATTTATATTCCTGTGAAACAGGAAGCAATGGGTGGATAATTTCATGTTCATAATCTGGTGTGCTAAAAATTGTTAATG